ACGAAAATTAAAGTATTTTTATAATTATAATATATTGCAGGGTTATATTAGTCTTTATCATTATAATTTTTTTTTTTTTGAAAAGCAAACAGGAAACATAAAAACAAAAAAAGAAACTAGGAACACCTCCTAGACCAAACTACTCCTGCATAGTCCCTTTCAAGTTTGTCACGACAACCAGAAGGAGGCGAGTCAAACTCTTGTAAAGACCAATCAAAGGAGTAGACAAAAGAGGCCATCCAATCGGCAACCCCATTCCCTTCCCTATGAATATGGGAAATTCTAACCCTCCAATTCCAATCCAGCATATTCCTTATGCGCAAGACCAAGTTAGAGGCTGGATGATGAGAGCTGCACCCTTCTCTTATGAAAAACTGGGCTACTAAGGAATCACCTTCAAGCCAGACAAAACGGAAACCTTTCCTCCATGCAATCTCAAGCCCAAGGAGACAACCCCAAAGTTCTGCTAACAAAACATTACCACAACCAAGATTTTTACAAAAGCCAACAAGCCACCTTCCACTAGCATTCCTAAATACACCCCCACAAGCAGAAGCTTCTCCATTATTCATACTTGACCCATCCACATTGAGCTTAACCCAAGGGTCCGAAGGAAAAACCCAAGAAACTAATTTCTCTTTATTCGAGTTAGTCTCAAGACCAGCAACCCGAAGCGTGTTTTCTGACCAAGAAAAATCTTCACCATAGACCATAGCAGCTCTAAAAGTGCCATAAGCAGGAACATAAGATCCCTGAAAAATTTTCTTATTCCTAGCTTGCCAAATGAAACAGGAAATGATACCAAACAGAAGAGGCCATGATGGCAAATTGGACCAATTACGATCCTCAGAGATATTGGACAACACCCATTGCTGAAGATTAAGAGAGAGAAAATCCTCCCAAGCCTCTCGCTTAACTGCAATCTCCCACACTTTTTTTGCTGCAATACAATCTCTAACCGCATGTAAGGAAGTTTCCATAAAACAATTGCACAGATGACATATATTTGAACCCGCCATGTGCCGTCTGCAACGCCTTTCATTTGTCAAAATTTTATCTCCTAACAACAGCCAAAGGAACGTACGAATCCGTTCAGGTCCATGCCACTGCCAAACGCGATTCCAAGGTAAATTGGTAGATTCCTCGTTACCCCTGGATATGGCCATATAAGCGGACTTCAGCGAAAAACTCCCATCAGATGTCCTTGTCCACAAAATTCGGTCATGACCATTAACATCCGAAGGAGGAAGGATGTTATTAATACGAGCATTGACGTGATCGGGAAGACTATGCTGGAAAGCCCCCCACATCCAACTTCCGGAGGATGAGACAAGATCAGAGACCATTAGCTGATGATTTATCTGAGAGGGATCAGAAATAGCAGCATAGGATGAGAGTGCACCACAACCCGGAACCCACGGGTCATCCCAAAAATGAGTAGAATTTCCATTACCTAGCAAAATTCTGGAATGCTGTAATATCACAGGCCAAGACGAAACAATTGCTTTCCAAAGAGAGGAGCTATTCCGAGTAGCAGAAATATTAGGAACCAAATCAGACTGAACTTTATACTTGCTCTTTAAAACTCTAGCCCAAAGCGCGTCTGGATTAGAAAGGATCCCATAACCAATTTTCATAATAAAAGCCCTGTTAACTTCCTTCATTTTCCTCAGACCCAGCCCTCCATGATCTTTATCCATGCACAACTGATCCCACGCAACCAGATGAGGACGAGTAGATGCTCTATTAGAACCCCACAAAAACCTCCTAATATGTTTCTCAATATCATTGCAGATTCCGAGAGGAACAACATAAACTTGCATTGTGTAGGCTGGAATAGCTGAGAGAACAGCTTTCGAAAGTGTAATTCTTCCTGCTAGAGAAAGACTGGTGTGGTTCCAGGCATTAATCCTAGATTGAACTCGATCGAGGATATGACTGAAAGCCGCCCTCCCAACTCTGCGATGATGAAGAGGAATACCCAAATACTTTCCAAGATCCACCGTCCTTGAGAAGCCCAACTCACCACTAAGTTCCTCTGCCAAAATATGATTCACATTGTGGGAGAAGAGAATTTTTGTTTTTTCATGGTTAACCTTTTGCCCAGAAGAAAGACAAAAATCATCTAGCACCTTGGAAATGGTTTGGGCCTGATCAAAGGATGCATCCGCACAAAGAATAAGATCATCCGCAAAAAAGAGGTGAGAAATGGGAGGAGCATTTCTCCTCAACATGATCGGCTTCCAGCACTTTTGCCTAACTGCATGGGAAATGAGATGACCAAGTCGCTCCATACAAAGAATAAATAAATATGGGGACAAAGGGTCACCCTGTCTAAGCCCCCTGGATGGGAAAAACTCCTGAGTTGTAGAACCATTCCAAAGAACATTCATCGAACAAGAAGAAACACACCACATAACAAGATTAATGAGATTTGGGGGGAGTCCCACATCCTGAAGAGTATCTCGGAGAAAGTCCCAGCTAATTCTGTCATAAGCTTTCTCCAGATCCACCTTAATCATCATCCAACCTTTGGCGCCTTTCTTTGACCTCATAGAGTGAATAATTTCCTGAGCAATAATTACATTATCTGTCCCTTGCCTTCCTTTGATGAAACTACACTGGTTAGGCATAACAATTTTATCCATCTTCAATTTCAAACGGTTAGCAATAAGCTTAGTAATAGTCTTATAAATAACATTACAAAGGCTAATAGGCCGGAAATCTTTAAGGGATTGAGGTGAAGTTATCTTCGGGATCAGGCAAATAAGAGTTTGATTAATATCCCGAACTTTTTGGGGATTATTAAACACATCTTTCACCAGATCACAAACAGAGCTTCCTACAATATCCCATTGAGATTGGAAAAATAGACTATGAAGACCGTCCACCCCTGGAGCTTTGTGAGGTCCCATGGAAAAAACTGTACTCCTAATCTCCTCATTCGAAGGAATGCTACCAATATGAATGTTGTGCTCTTGCACAAGGTGAGGAAAATAGCCTCTAATTGGAAGCCCAAGTCTAGCAGTATTATCCTCTTTAAACAAATTACGATAATACTCCACCGCCATATTCATCAGAATAGAGGGATCACCAATCCAATCACCCGCATCATTTTTCAGAGCATCAATACGATTTCTCCTCCTCCTAGCAGCTGTAGTAGAATGGAAGAATTTCGTATTCCGGTCACCATATTTCAACCAGCTAGCCCTAGACCGCTGAAACCAAGTAAGATCCTCCCGAATATAAATGAGATTCAACTGACGCCAAAGATCTTTCTGCAGAATTTCTAGAGCATGGCAAGGATGGTGACTAAGACTACGGTCAATACCCCTTAGTCTCGCCTGAAGATTATTCTTAAGCTTGGCATCTTCCCTAAAGCACTCCCTATGCCAGTGAGAAGCATTCGATCGAAAAGTTTCACTAGTTGTGCCCCAACCTGTACTCCCATTCCAACACTCCTGCACTAGGCCAGGGAAATCCTCATGAGTGAGCCAGGCTGCCAGAAATCTAAATGGACGGCTCCCTCCAGGATGGTGAGGAGAAGGACCCTCCCAGAGAAGAAGAGGTCTATGATCCGAGCAGTAGCAGGGAAGATGAGTCACAACCCTGTCAGGAAAGGACAATTGCCACTGCTCATTCGCACAAACTCTATCAAGACGTTCCTTCAATCTGCCTCTATGCCAAGTGAAAGTAGGCCCCTGATGACCCAAGTCTTCCAGATTGCAGTTCATAATACAATTTTGGAAATCATAAATACTCCTCGAATCAGGCGGGCCACCTCCCTCCTTTTCTGCTGCATGCAAATAAGAATTGAAATCTCCCAAAATGCACCAAGCCTCCGAGGATTGCTGTTGTAACCTTCCTAGAGCATCCCACAGAGACACCCTCTCAAGACGCCGCGGACTGGCATAAACAAAAGTAACAGCTTCCTCCTTCCTCCTATTACGCCAAAAAAATTTTAAATGGATAAACTGACGATGAGACTCTAAAATCTGAATCTGAGCTTCATCATCATTCCATAACACCCACAGACCACCAGAAAAACCTTGAGGATGAGCCATAACATGCTTTTGAAAGCCAAAGCCTTTCACCACCTTCTGAGCACGGTCAGCTCCGATACGAGTTTCAAGCAAAGCCATAACTTGAATATTAAAACGACGAGACAAGTCCCTAATAAGGGGAGAAAAACCCTTTTTTCCGGCCCCCCTGCAATTCCAAACACACACACTCATCAAAAAACCACAAAAAATAATGAGAAAGGATGAAAAACACCCTGTCATTAGACTTTGGGGAGATCAAAATTATCATTATAATTTTTTAATCTTATAATTTCAACACGATGTCGTTTTGAGTTCACTGGAGATAACTTCATTTCCGGTGACCAGAGAAAAACTTTTTTTTTTTGGAGGTTACAAGGAATTGAACACAATACCCTCACTACACACACCCCACACCACTAGGCTAACCGTAGTGGTGCCCTCCAGAGAAAAACTTTTACCCTATATTATTAAAGGAAATAAAATTAGGTACACCAACCTCAATTTTGAGGAATATTGAGGCTGAGGCCGCTATGAGATTTGAGGAATTGTTTTTTACTTTTTTAGAAATTTGTTTTTCAAAAGATTTCTTTTTTCTCTTGTTTTATTTTTTTCTCTTTAGAATGAACATTACAAGGTAAATTAGTGTATTCTGTATTTGATGTGATTGTTCGATGCCAACGGATTGCAGCATAAACAGCTCTTTTATAAGTTTTACTTCCCAGTTTTTCAGATTATTTGATTGAAAATTCTCATGTTTTAAATTTCATCATATTAATAACTTTTTAAAACGGGGTCTAATACTTGCATTAATTATGACAACTTTGTCCACAAGACCAAGTTGCTGTACGATTTAAACTATATTGAATTGGGATCAGTAATTCAAGCAACAAGAACAAAACAAAGGAATTTTAACTTCCAAGACATATTCAAAGATTACAGTCTGCAATGCAACCCACTACGAATATTCAAATGAGAATATGTTTCCAGTGCACAAACATAGGTACGATTATATTTATTAAAATAACTTAAACATACGCCAAGCAGAATGGACGGTAACCAAATTATTTGATTAACTAAACTCGGAGAGAGTTGATAAGATCTATCAGAACTTCTTGATAAAATCAAGAATATGATTGTTAACTTCCTCCGCAGCTTCTTGGTTGTTGAAGTGAGCTACCCCTTCCTGTATAACCACTTCCTCCAAATTCGGCACATCTTTCTTGAAAGCACCGCTATCGATATAGTCCTTCATCCCTAGCGAAGTGTACACTACATCTAAATCACCCGTTATGAATTTCACCGGTACTTTTACTTGCGCTCCAGTCCAAGGTGCCGTCAGCTCCCAATTTCTGTACATATAATGCACATCAAGTGAGTCATAAAAAAATAATATACCTATAATTAATTAACCAAAGATATAATTTATTTACCACATGCAGTAATAACACACACACAAGAATAGGAACTTACAAGTTCAAATTCCTATAGTAGTTAAGGCCTCCAGTGAAGCCTGATTTTTTAAATTTAGAAGCATAATAAGCGAGATCTTCTTGTGTGAGCCAAGAGGGAAGAGGCCTTGTATCATCTGGATTAGATCCCATCCCTTCTTTGGGCAAGATTGGTGGCCCAGGTTTGCGACCCATGAGAACGTTCTTTATTACCCGTTCAGCGCTACTTTTCTCAAGCTCAGCTTCGGCTTTGCCCGGTTCCTGTCACACCATCAATCAAAATATATGTGACTTGTTTGTTTGTTATAACAGAATTGTCAGATTCAGTTAAGGTTGTTGTTATTTTAACAAAAAGAAAAAAGAAAAGAAAAAAAGAACCTGGAATCTGCAGATATAGTAGTCATCTCCGTACAAGGCTCGCATGCCATCTACTGTCCTCACTTTGGGGTTTCTAGTAAAGAAAGGTACACTGAGACAAACATAGGCCTTGATTCTCTCAGGGCGAAACAAACATAGGTACCAACCTATCAAGGCTCCCCAATCATGTGCAACGAGGAAAACTTGATCCACATCGAGTGAGTCAATAAGGGCAACAATGTCACCCACGATGTGGAAACATGTGTAGCTGCTGATTGAAGTAGGGGCTTCGGTGTCACCGTAGCCACGGAGATCAGGTGCCACGGCACGGTAACCGAGGGAGCTGAGAGCCAGAATCTGGTGTCGCCATGAGTACCAGAGCTCGGGGAAGCCGTGAAGGAACAACACCACAGGACCTTGTCCTTTCTCTGCTACATGCATTTTGATGCCATTCACTTCCACTGTCCTGTGCTCTATTCCTTCCATCTCTTCTTCGGTGTTGTGTGTGTGTGTGTGTGTGATAGTGAATGTTATGTGACTATGTTATTTATCACCGAAGATGGGCCACGGGATGGAATTAACTATGGGCGGTGAAGGTTCTCGAAGAAATTTTTTGTATAGAAAAAAAATTACTATCGAACGTTAGGTGCAAAGAACAAGAGTACTCTACACACGTTCCGAATGAGAGATGGTTCACTGCACCGTTTGGAGATGTAGATCTGTTCGAGTATTTAGTGCGCATTAAAAATAGGGAAGGCTGAATCAGTCTTGTTTAACTGTTCCACTATTGGCAGATTGTATGCATCTATTTAATTACTATTAAATGAAATAATTCCAAATTCTCCTATTTTCATACTTATTAAATTATTTAATTCTTTTCTATTTTTAATATATTAAGTAAATTTTGAGAGTGGATCTTCTTAGGTGAAAAAATGATTATGTGGTCATGTTATTTGATCAGAACCACAAATTTAAAAATTATACACTTTTTTTCTCTTATCTTATCTCATCATCGATGAGTGGTTGTGATCAAATAACATGATCACTTTTTCACATGAGAAAATCCACTCCCGTAAATTTTTCATTTATTTCTGCTTTTTCAAGTACTAATTAAAACAATTTTTGTGATAATAATTTAGAAAAAGTAATCATTTAAAAAATAAAAAATAACGAGCATAAAAATTATATTAGTTAAAGAGTGTTTAATATCTTTAATTATTTAAATTTATTAAAAAATTAAACGTTTCTTATTTAATTATTTATTTTAATTATTTTTATCCAACATTTTAAGCCTACCCATTGCAAAATTCTCTAACATAAATAAGGTTTGAATTTTCTACGCCAATATTAAATGTACGAACAAAGATATCTCTACTTGCCGATAACCGATGTTATTGTCTCTTAAAGAAGGTGTAGTACATTTACCGAAGAAAAGAAAGAAAAGAATATGTACCAAAAAAAAAAAAAATAATAAATAAAAGAAGGTGTAAGTACATATTTGAATTAATTTTTTTGAAAAATAAATCTTTTTCTTAGAGTTTTTTTTAAAGGAATTAAAACAAAAATTCTCTTTTAGTCATTTTTCTAAACATGAATTAAATATCGAATTTGGTCATTTAAAATTTATTGTATTATCATTTTAGTTCTTTAAACAATTTTGTTATTCGATTATTTAAAAAAAATATAAATAGTTATCAAATTTATTTTATGTATTGCTACTTTAGTTTTTTATGAAAATAAATTTGTTTTGTTTTAAATTTATAAAAATTAAGTTAATAATTAAAATTTGAAAACTAATTAACAATAATATAGTATTTAAATGATTAATTTTATATTTTACTTTTAAAGAAAAAATATATTTTTCATATTACAAAAGATAATTTTATTTCATGCAACACACAACAGATTGATGTAACTCAATTTTTTCTTTCTCTCTATTCTCCTTAATGATTCTCACTCTTACATGCTTCTGTTTAAAGAAATCAATGAAATAGGCTCACAGTTTCAGACGTCTCTCTAATCACTTACTATGAATCTCTTATTTCTTCATTAGACTAATCATGTTCTTTTCGGTGCTAGCCACTTTTTATATGAATAATTAATTAAAGAGAAAAACAATAATTTGATTTAATTGAAAACAAAAAAAAAAGTTAAGATTTGTTAAATAAGATCGTATATGGAATAATAATAAGTAATGATCGATTATTAAAAATAAAAATAATGTGAAATGGGGTTGATTGTTAACTCTAATATTATGACATATTTATATTATTTAATAAAATTTTAAACAAAATTTAAGAATCTTATTATTGGAATAATCATCTATCTTGTTCATGTCTTGTATTAAGTTTTTCTTTGAATATCAATAAAAGTATAATGGAATAAGTATTTTTTCATATATTTTTAAAGTATATATTGTATTAGTTTTAATTATATTAATGGAGTGAAAAGTGATTTCAGATTGACGACGCATCTTACGGCAATAAGCATAATAACATACATGTTGTGTAATGCGTAGGATGCGTCGTCATATTAGTGACTTCTTTGGAACAGTTTTCTCGTGTTGTGTAATTCGTTTTTATTAGTTTCATGTATTGCATAAAAAGAAAAGAGAAATTGGTACATGTAAATTGGAAAAAGTATATTTCACATTATTAACTTAACTTGGCTTGGAATCTTTTTTTTATGTCTTTTGCTGCTACTACTAGTTAAGATAGATTATTTATTATTTATTTATTTTTGGTAAGGGGCATCAGGCATGGCCCCAAAGCAACAAACATAAGCAAAACTAAAGCAGGAAACTAACAGAAGAAAGTAAAAGAGCAGACAGGGACCATAAAAAACAAAAAGTTAACAAGGATTTAGACTATCAGCCTCCAAAAGATAGATTATTCAGTCATACAGAATCATTAGAACCGCCTAATAGTATTATGCTTTTAATGCCAGGACAAATTGTGATCCAAAGAATAAACACAAGGGACATAGCACCAAGCACAAAAGTCATCGGTGGCTGTGCATCATTCTAAAATGAAAGGAAGTAAATGACAAGATTGCCGAAGCAGACTAACCGTACTCGTATTTTGTAGTAAAAAATAGCTTCAAATCATTTTACCAAAAAAATAAATAAATAGCTTCAAATCAAGGATCCGCACGAATATATTTTCTTGTTCATAAATGGTTGGTGTAAATACTTTTGTATCCATCTTTTTCTTTGCCATAAATATTCCTTTCATTTTAAAACTTGTTAGGCTATTTTAAATTATTTATTATTTTGAATCTTAAGGAAATATTAATGACTTCCCCCCCCCCCCTAATTTTATGTTTCTCTTTTAATATTTTTACTAAATTAAATGAAAGAAAACATTAATGAAATATTAAGATAATTTAGTAAAATATAAATATATTTTTTAAAAATTAAAAATATTTAATAAATTTCTTATTTCTTGTACAAAATCCTTAAACTCTATCAACTTTGAGAGTGAATCCTCTCATGTGAAAAAGTGATCGTGTGGTAATGTTATTTGATCACAATCATTCATTGATGATGAGATAAAAAAGAGAAAAGTGTATAATTTTTAAATGAGTGATTGTGATTAAATAATATGACCACTATTTCACATGAGAAGATCCACTCTCATCAACTTTTATCAAACCAAAAGACAGTTATTTAAAAGCACTGTACAATTAGTGAGTCTGTGTGTGTATCTTATTAAATAAATTTTCTGTCACGCAACAAAGAAATCTGTTATCAAAACGTGAATAGGCATCACTTTTATAGGTAAAAGACTACTGTAAAATACTACAAAAATGGAAGAAATTTCAGGGTTGATGTAGTAATTTCACTAAAAAAGATATTGTTATATTATTTATAAGTTTATAACTTTATGGTGAATTTAAAAATTTTAAGACAAAATTATAAATTTATAAAGTAAAAGTTACAATATATTAAAAGGGTTTGATGTTTGTTATTTTAAATGAAATAAACTATGTCATTTAAGAGAGAGATAGACACAAAAAATAAAAATCATGGGGAGAAAGTGAGTGACTTTTTTTAATTTAAATTTTAAATAAAAAAATTATTTTTTGTCCATCTCTCTCTTAAAATGACATAACTTTATGTCATTTAAAATGACAAATACTTTATCTATATTAAAAATACATATTTATTAAAATAACATGATATTTCCCTTTCAAGAAACAAAATGGACCGTGCAAACTTATGAACGAAAAGAAAACATCAAAGTTGCTCACCAAAAGAAAAAAAAAAAACATCAAAGTTGGTGGCTGTTAGAAATATTATCAAAATCGGTGACATGATGTGCGCAGCTCACTGGTAATAAATTGTCGATGTAATTCGACGGTATATCCAAATTAAGGAAGTGGTCCTGTTTGTTCAGGAGACATTGAGAGAAGGAAAGCCTAAGCAATCAGGGGGAGGTGGTTAGCACTTGGCACTTTTTCAGATTATGGGTACGGGCTTGGTATTTATGGTCTCTGACGTTGTAGGGTTTGTGTGTCTCGGGTATGTGATGATCTATTGTATGTTGACAAAAAAGTAGTTTGACAAAAAAGTAATTGGGACAGTGACCAACGTGCCATGCTTTGACAAACAAATTATCAGAATGTTACGCGAATAGTAAAATTTCTTAAACTGTCACGCGTGATAATTCGCTACACAATGTATCGAATTACGTTTGCAAATAATTCGCTACACTGTGTAGCGAATTATGTCAGGTCAGATTGCCCCGTCAGCAAGAATGCCACGTGTTAACCCTGGAGTAATTCGCTAGGGTATGTAGCGAATTAAGTTGACCAGGAGTCAGTCATGGCAGTCTCTTATCGGACACGTGTCACAACTCCCATAATTCGCTATACCTTGCAGCGAAATACATGTCAGATTGCCAGTCCTGTCCAGTCATTGTCAGGACAAGTGTCAATACCCCCAAAATTCGTTGTACTGCCTAGCGAATTATGTACTTATTTTGCCATGAATCATAGCGAATTAGAGACCGCTCTGACTGATAATGGACAGGTGTCAGCCCCCTAGTAATTCGCTAGGGGGCATAGCGAATTATGTTGCATAAAATGGTACCCCATGTAGCGAACTTTGTTACTATAAATCAGCTCAATTCCATTTCAGGAACGGACTTTGAGTGCGAAAATTTGCCATTTATATACAAACATTACTACTTTTGTGTTATCTTTTGTGAATGTTAGTTAATTTTCTACTTTTGTAAAATGAGTGAGGGTAATCGCCACAGTTTATTATAATGGGAGAAGATATTTTGGACCAAACGGGCAAGTTTTTGAAGGTGATGCAAAAATGTTTCGCATGAGCCCAACATGCAATCTTCACGAGCTTAAGAAGATAATCTACAAGAAGTTGAGACTACAATGTGGTCAAACTCTAGCTCGATTGACCGCTAGGTGTGCCTCTAGTAACCCCGTGCAATGGGTTGGCGTGGAAATTGTTGAAGATGACGATGTAACGTT